TACCAAGTATTTTTCCAAGCACTTAAGTGCTTGCTGTCAAGCTTTGGGAAACAGGATTGATTCTTCACACAGTTGTCTACAGTCAATTATTTTTTGAGAGGAAAAGTTAAACTTGTACTAGAGATGGGAAGTTCCAGGATTGCTCCTCTTATCTTTATTTTAAGTCAGCATTACATTTGATTTCCTTTAGTCTTCTGGTATTTCTCCAGTTGCCTGTGTGGTCCCAGAAAGCTTCAGCGGTCTGGGATGCATATGTCATACGGACATGCTGATCTATATGGCTAGGGACAGAAGTTGCACACACACTGGTTTAAACCTGTAACAAAACAGAAGTTCAGTGCACATAAACCTGTTTTAAATGGCTGAAACTGATTTGAGATAAACCCGGCTGAATGTATTATCAGACTTAACCAATTGAGGTCAAACTGGTTTTTGGAACTTGTCCCCCAGACCCCTTCCTGGTTTAAGTTAAATCGGAGTCCTCCATCATGCTCCGCAGCACTGAGCTGGACTGTCTGCTCCAGCCAAGCAAGGGTGGCCCTGCCTCTCTGCTCCCTAGCTGGTGCACTATCACTGCTCCAGCCAACTGAGGAAGGGGTGGGGGTGGGAAAACCCTGCTTTTGGAGTGCTGCCAGGTCTGCCCTCCCCAATCATTCAGGCCTGCCCATGCCCCTTCCCTCAGCTTAGTTTCCCTCCAGCCAAGGCCTCACTCTAGTGTCCCACGGCTTCTGGCCTGAGCCATGGGCTTGCATTTCTGGAGGCAAAAGTGAATATCTGTTTACTTCTAAATTGGTTCAGTCAATGAAGGTTAGACTAACCTGCAAAGACTGAATCAATTCAGGCTTCGGCTTTTTGAATGTTTGTCCCTAGCCTATGCATGAATATTCTCCACTCTGCTCTTGAGCAAGAACCATTTTTTGGTCATTTTAATTTGAAATAGTTCCACTTTTTATTAGAAGGATAGAACTAATGTCCAGATGTGAACAGCCTGACACTTTTTAGAGTAGCTCGAATCTAAGTCTGGATCTAAACTTCATACTTATGTTTTTTCTGGAGGGGGGTTTTGTTTTCTTAGTTAAAATTTCAGTCTTTTGTTTCATACACAACTTCATGTTTCAGATACAAACAATAACTGAAACACTGTAAGGAGCCAGCTTCCGAACCACTTACTCCTCCTTAGTAGCAGTCTGTTCTAAAGGGATTCCCATGGGAGTGCTCCAAAAGTAAAGCTATTACTATCCAATATAAGCAAGGGTTATTAGAGCTTGGTCCTTTGGAAGAATAAAGTTATCTTAATTGACTAAAAATTAGGTGCCCATTGATTAGACAATATCAGTACTACCAGACATGAATGAATGTGTATGAAAGCACAACAGGAAGGCTTGATGAGCTATGCAGGGAGGAATGGAATTTAGCACAGTTAAAGAATAATTGCAGTGGGGGTTAGAAGCGCATATCTGAATGACTGGAGTGATGAATCCACTCTTCAGTGTGCGTGCCAGTGTAAAGGAGAATAAATACAGAGGCACCAAAATCAGTCTGATCTGTTTATCTTTAGTGCTGGGGATTTTCCTCTTCATGTGTCCTTTTCAGGTAGTTCACTTCATATGACTAGACTATGTTTTCAGGTCAGTTTGAGGGTTGGCTTTGCCTGTTCAATTTTTAAATTGTTGACATGAAAACAGCGATGGAGGAAATTTTCAAAACTTGTTTATGGCAATGCCAAAAATCACAGGGTTTAAATTTTTTAATGCCTAATTAAATTCCAAGTCACACTAAAAAGTCCAGTTGTTCAAATACTTATGCATATGCTTAACATCCAGAGGAATTCTATTGGTATATGTCTCTGACTTAGTCTGAGGTGCAAATCTACCTTGCCTAATGCATTGCTGACACTGAGACTATCCACCATAGTCAAGTTATATGCATGCCTAAGTTCTGATCCTGTGGAGCGCTAAGCCACGTTTGGAAGTGGGACCTACATTTCTAAGTTACTTAAGCTCTTTAGAAAGTTTTAGCCTAATATTTCAGTCTGAACAAAACTTCTGAGTGGGTGTGGGGTGCTAAGAAGTAGTCCAGCAGGCTTCTCTGTTCAATCCATCTCCTGGCTATCGCTGTCACAGGAATTGAGTTTCAAGCATTTCCAGTTGGAAAGAGTCTTTAGAAAATCTGGCCATATTACGTCATTGCTAGTGGTAGTTAAAGATGGAAAGTGCTCTACCCAAGCATATTGTTTGTGCAACGGTCTGTTGGAAGGTATGGCTGAAAAGCAGATGCTGCAGAAGCAGCTGCCAGAAATCTTTATTCATAGATGTTAGGGTCGGAAGGGACCTCAATACATCATCGAGTCCAACCCCCTGCATAGGAATGAAAGAGTGCTGGGTTTAGATGACCCCAGCTAGACGCCTATCTAACCTCCTCTTGAAGACCCCCAGGGTAGGGGGGAGCACCACCTCCCTTGGGAGCCCATTCCAGACTTTGGCCACTCAAACTGTGAAGAAGTTCTTCCTAATGTCTAGTCTAAATCTGCTCTCTGCTAGCTTATGGCCATTATTTCTTGTAACCCCCGGGGGCGCCTTGGTGAGTAAAGCCTCACCAATTCCCTTCTGTGCCCCCATGATGAACTTATAGGCAGCCACAAGGTCGCCTCTCAACCTTCTCTTGCGGAGGCTGAAGAGGTCCAGGTGCCCCAGTCTCTCCTTGTAGGGCTTGGCCTGCATGCCCTTAACCATACGTGTGGCCCTTCTCTGGACGCTCTCCAGGTTATCCACACTCTCTTGAAGTGCGGTGCCCAGAATTGCAGTATTCCAACTACAGTCTGACCAGCGCCCGATAGAGGGGAAGTATCACCTCCTTGGATCTGTTCGTCATGCATCTACTGATGCACGATAAAGTGCCATTAGCTTTTCTGATGGCTTCGTCACACTGACAACTCATGTTCATCTTGGAGTCCACTAGGACTCCAAGATCCCTTTCTGCTTCCGTGCCCCCAAGCAGGTCATTTCCTTGGTAGTAGGTGTGCTGGACATTTTTCCTCCCTAGGTGCAGCACTTTGCATTTCTCCTTGTTGAATTGCATTCTGTTGTTTTCTGCCCATATGTCCAACCTGTCCAGGTCTGCTTGCAGCTGTTCCCTGCCCTCCGGTGTGTCCACTTCTCCTCACAGTTTTGTGTCATCCGCAAACTTGGACAGAGTACACTTCACTCCCTCGTCCAAGTCGCTGATCAAGACATTAAAGAGTATCGGTCCAAGGACCGAGCCTTGCGGGACCCCACTGCCCACACCCTTCCAGGTCGATACCGACCCATCCACTACGACTCTCTGGGTACGACCCTCCAGCCAATTCGCCACCCACTGGACTGTGTAGTCATCCAAGTCACAGTCTCTTAACTTGTTCACCAGTATGGGGTGGGATACCGTATCAAAGGCCTTCCTAAAGTCTAAGTAAACAACGTCAACCCCTACTCCTGCATCCAGGCATTTTGTAACCTGGTCATAAAAAGAGATTAGATTAGTCAGGCATGATCTACCTGCTACAAACCTGTGCTGGTTTCCCCTCAGCATAATTTTTCCTGCCGGGCTCTCGCAAATGTGAGCCTTGATA